CCCAAAACCCCAAAACCCCAAAACCCCAAAACCCCAAAACCCCTAAAAGCTCTCTACTTATTGAAACCCTGTACTTTAATTTTATCAATTATTATTAATAATTAGTGGTTAAATATTTGGGATTTTTGGGAACCTGATGAAGCTGTTTTGGCAATATGGGCTTCCAGATTGGTCTTGGCTTTGGTGTAGACTTGGGAGAGGTGTCTGGTGAGGGGGTTCTCGTCACCGAGGTAGTCTTCAGCGGTGAGTTTGGCCTTGAGGAAGGATTTTATGGAGTCGTCGAATTCGGAGAGGAACTCTTGCTCGATGGCGAGGTTGTGGTAGCAAAGAGCCAGGACTGCGATGTCGTCTTTGAAGGTGAGGCAAGCGAGTTTGAGATCTTTTTCAGCTGCTCTTCTTCGTTCTTCATCAAATTTTGGCACAAAGGCGTTATTTTATTTTAAGTTGAAGGAAGATCTATACTTATGAGAAAATATACTATTCCATTGGTGGCTTGTCTCTTCGCACTCTCATGCTTTCCCATTTGTGAATACATAGTTCATAGAGATAAATGGGTCTCTGCTCGGGTGGAATTTTTGTTAAGCCTTATATCTATTTTCAGACTTTTCTCAAGATACTGGGCTGCTGATTTAAATTGGCCTATTTTCGAGTAATAATTTGAAATATTGATTAATGCAAGCGACTTTGCCTCTTCATCTTTATCACATATTTCTAGTGCTTTCTCAAGCCAAGAGATTTTTGTAAAATTGTCTGAGAGAAAACTACAAATCATACAAGCTCTATTTTCACAGCTCAGTGAATGAATCAGAGATTACTGGGTCCATTATTTTAGAGTAATGTTCAGCCTCTTTTTCATTTTCTTGGTTTTCTTTGTTCCTAAAATTTAGTTGAGAATCCTCACTGGTAAGCCTGAGTAGCTATCGCCTCTAGCTCGTTGACTCTAGATGAATAAAACTTATTGCATACTGCTGTTTGAGCTCATTTAGAGAAGAATATTCCATTTTGAAATCAATTTTTTATCATGTTAAAGGGGTTTTGGGGTTTTGGGGTTTTGGGG